AAGATCACAGTATTGTTACACAGATTATGAGTGTAGTTGATTTCTGTAACTGTAAAACAAACACACACAGGGAGATCCAGTTACTTAATATTTTCAAGTACATAACCAAATGTGGAAATGTAGATCAAGTAAAGCATATGCATTTTAAATAATATGCATTAAACATTTGAAATAATATATTTGTTAAATATACTATTTAAAAAGGGTGACATTCCAACAGATTTCTTGAAATGAATTACAATGGTAAGATAGCAGCTAAGCTATATTCTGTACTATAAACATTTTATGATTGTTTTTAAATGAAAAAGGAAAACAACCCTGATTGTAACTCATAAACTAGGAAAGTACTATCAGTTTTTAATAATTTAGACTTTTTGTTGGATGAAATCAATTTTGAAAATCATAATATTAAACTTTATTAACATTTGATATTTCACATCTTTAAATTTGGTTAGCATAAATGAAAACAACTACAGAAAATACAAACAGTTTGTTGGGACATTTAGAAATAACAGCTTACTTTTTTTTTTTTGATATTCTGTTAATCCAGACTAGTACTGGTTTAATACTATCAGTTCATTGTAATTCAAAGAAAAACAATCTCATACACTTTTTTCTCACATCAAAATAAAATCTGGCATAATCATGGGATTTTTTTTTATTTATTTAAGAGCGCTTAGAATATGCAGTCTTGAACATCTAGCTGATGAAGAGAAAGACATTAACAATATTTTTTAAATCATTCACTACTCCAGTTATTTCAAAAAGTGTATGAAATCAACAGAACCAAAAAAGAAAAGGAATGTATAAACACAAAAACTAGACATTATTTCACCTACAAACTCTATAATGAAACTTGAGAGAAATTTAGATAATCTCAATATTAAAATTATCACAGACACTTCTAAAACAATTAAAAATTTAATCAAAGTAAAGCAGATAACTAACTTTATATCAGAAGTGGTAATCTACCAAATGGGATTTAAACAATGCCCCTGTGGAATAACACAGTAATTCCACCTACATTTTACACGCGCGCAAGAATTCCTCCCTTCCTTCCACACTTGTGCGTGTGTGCGTGCGTACCCGCGGATTGCACCCCTTTCTCCCTCGTTAAGCCAGACATAGCAGTAAACAGCCTTTTGGCTGGCGGCGAGGAAGGTTGCTGACTAAGTGCTCCTGATAACGTCTAAAATCAGAATTTGAATGCTGTTTTATTAAAAAAAGAAGATTATTTAGTTATAGATGCATTGAAAATGCAATGTTCTAAAAATATCCTGCAGTTAATATATGATCAAGATTTTTTTCAGTCTATCACCTGTCATTTACTTAAGGTAAAAGAAATAAATATAAAAATAAAAACCAATCTGAAATTGGTAAAATCTAATAAAAAAAAAAAAAAAAATTATATTTATATGTAACACACACATCTCTCTCCAATTAAAAATTAATATATCTGTCTATATTTCTGAGATGAGGTATTATGTACACTATTTACATTGTTCAGACTATTGTCCTTATCTTTATTGCCATGTTTATCATGTTTTGGCTGTTGTACATTCTGGCTTTCTTCAGGTGCTTGGAATGTCGAACTGAACCCTTTATTTCACTCACTGGGGTAGACTGTCCTATTTCTACATGCTGTGTCTAATGGATGTCAGTTATCTCCTGTTAATTCTCCTGTCCAAGTTCTCAACTGCCTTAACCAGTGACAGGACCCAAAGAGTGTGAGTTCAATACCTGGTTAAGGCAGTGGAGAACTTGGAGAGGGGAATTAACAGGAGATAACTGACATCCATTAGACATGGCACGTGGAACTAGAACAGTCTACCCCAGCGAGCGAAATAAAGGGTTCAGTTTGACATTCCAACCACCTGAAGAAGGCCGGAGCACACAATGGCTGAAATATTGTGATAAACATGGCAAGGAAGATGAGGATGATAGTCCGAACAATGTAAATAGTGTAATAATTAATGTGAATCACATTGTCTCACTAATGTAATGTAGATTTGGTTGAAATAATATCCATTTTTCTGATGACTGTTTGGTGATTATTTATTGTATGTAACAATAAAAATATGGCACAAGGCCGAAAAATGCGGAAGACTGTTTTGTCATTGTTCTGACTTTAGCTTAATTAGTCACTGACCCAAAACGTACATATAATAATCCTTTCAACATAATACCACAGTCTATACTCTCCATAAAGCCCTAAACTAATACTCCATAGTTACTAACATGTAGAGATGAGGGTAAAAAAGTATGATTTTTATTTACATCATGAAAATGGAACCTATGATTTGAATGAATATATACCATATATACTTGGATATCATGTAACTTTTGAAGACTTAATTTTGAAGCTAATTTTAAGGGAGTTGCATCATACATGTACTGCTGGCCCTGGCTACGCTGTTGACCAAACTATATATTCATTTAGTGTAGTCAAATTAGCTTCAAAATTAGGTCTTCAAAGGCTGCATGATATTCAAGTATTTATAGTGTGTGTATGTATATATATATATATATATATATATATATATATATATATACACACACACACAATGAAAAAAAGATGGTTAGTATGGGATCCTAATGTAGCAGAAAAGCAAGTTAACTGAGAAAAAATACAGTGGGAATGTGTAGAAAAAAATGGTGTTAGTAATGGGGGGGGTAAAAAACAAAAAGGTGGGCAATGACCATTCACTCCTTAGCTAAGTTAACCGATTGTCAAAGAAAATGCAAAAGAGAAGCTCTTTCTATTCCAATCCGAGTTAGGCAGGCATGTTTTTCTCAGAGAAAAAGTCCTTCAACCAGTTAGCTCAAGATGCCATCGTCAGCACCGTTCAATCACAGCAGCCATGCAACAGTCATCCAACTTTCAACAAAGTCTTTGGAAGAAAGTCTCTCCCTTCCCACCCTGATCTTGATCTTCAGTTGGTGCTGAAAGAATGCAGCCAGGTGATGATAAGAGAGAGGCAATGCTCTATGAACTTCATTCATCATCATTGTCCATATCACTATTCACATCACAGGTAGCAAGCATTGAAGCACATAGTGCTTCCTCCAGGTTGCCAACAAGTTCATGACGCTACAAACAGAACTGGCATCCAAGACAAAGAATTGTCCATGCAGCATGTGGACCATGTACAGCAGGCATATGACCAGGCAATGAAAGGTGTGCTCAATAAATGTCTCCATTTCACTGCACTGGATGTAATCTGGTGAAACAACCAAAAGACTTTGCTGATCCAGACTGCATTTTGAATCATCAGCCAGGTATGATGCTTCATCATTAGTGAGGCATTTCAACCTGGGTGCCCTAGGCTATATGGAGTGAAACACCCCCTTGTTAGACTTAATAAAAATCATATTTTTTCTTTGAAGGGGACCAAAGCTTGCAGCTGTGCAAAAAACATAGTTATGGAATGTGAAGTAGTAATTAACATGATCTTAGAAAATACATAGGAAGGAAATTACACATTAACATCATGCTCAACTGCTACCACTACAAAAAAAAATCACTTAGAAATATATTGTGACATGCCTACATTGATGTGTAGTTGCATTTACTTTTATAATTTCTGGAATGAAGAGTTATTCACATTTGGACTGTTACATTCTACCTAAAACCAGATCTTCTGATTCATGCTACACTAATTTCCACCAGTGGATAGATGTAAACACCCTGAAACCCAAGACTGAACTAAAAATTCAATCAACTGCACATAGGCTCTGCACATAGCTTTTGTTTTTACTCACACACTCAAAGAAAAATACCATCCAGAATTTCCACTCAATAGCACCCACTTCCACCTAAAGAAACAAAATAAAAATTGGAGCCAATCTGAATCTAAGAAAAGGACATAAAAGCCCATCAAAAGGACATCTTTTAACAGCTCAGATTCACAATGCTCCCATCTCCAAAAAACAATTTGCCAAAGGCTAGCATCACAGTAAGTCACAACTCACCTTCCCTCTCCTACAGTATATGCCTCTGTGGATGACTTTCACAATTCCATTTATCTCATGGCCATCAGGTTAGCTGAAACACTTAACTCATGTTTAAGGTTCCAAAATTACCCAGGAAAATGGCATGGTGGATATAAACCACTATGCCATTATCCTGTATGTGCTGTGATTTTGGAACCTTAAACATAAGGTTTGTTCTTTCCTGATCAAAGCTAACATTTAAAAGAACAAAGTTAAAAAAAAAAAAAAATCACATGCAGAATTGTGCAATAAACTATGCTTAATTAAGGAAGTTAAATCTTTAGAAGTTTTTGCATATAAACCCTTTGCTTAAAAGGCAATTTGTAGAGAGATTGTTAATGAGTCACTTTGGCAAGTTATAGTCTGCCTCTAAAAATCTATGAATGTTCCTATAGCAGTTATGATTTACAACCAACAAGACTTACTTTTAAGTTTGATAAATAAAATCAAGCTGATACAATGAAAACGGAATCAAAACTATATGTATTTTAAAATATTAAGAAGCTGTAAAGCTACTATCCAAAAAATTCAGAGGGAGCAATTGAAACCAACCAATGTTTAAACTTAAAGAGAATAACACAAATGTCCTTTTATTTCCATGTTAAATGACAAAATATAATTCACTAGTGCCAGTAAAAAAAGAGGAAAAAGGAATCTAAATATTTAAAACAATCATATTTTTATTAGAAAACTTATGACTGAAATAAAAAAAAAATGCTTGTATTTCAGTCTGTTGTCAAACAATTGTAAGACATTAACAGAACGCAAACGGTGTGATAAAAATTATTTGTAGAAAGTTCATATTTCAAATTTATTCACAAATTGCTTATTTTTTCCTGAAAGCATGCTAAAGTTTTCTGTGACAAACAGATAAAATACTTTTTTTTTTAAATCTTAAAACAATATTTTAGTCAATTTTCAGCCAATGAAAGACAAATAACAGTAAGAAATCAAAGAAAAAAAGAAAAATTAACATTTCTCAGACAAAATTAAAATCTAGTGGGTGTCTATGTGATAACTGTGGGGCTTGTGCGGCCTGTAAGTTTTGGTAACTGAGAGATTTGCAGGGCAATTTCAATTAATGGTTTCAACAAAACCTGAAAAGAAAAGAAAAAAAAAAGATTATTTTCAATTGAATCCAGTTTAATGTAATTGGAATATTGTTTTCCTTGGGAAAAAAAAAAAAAAGGTTAAATTCTTAATAATTTGTGGAATGAAATTGTTATATGCGGTTTAATTTATATAAGACAGACTATGCATTGATTCTGATATAAATAGATATACCTGTGGATCAAGAAGATGTTTGTTGACATCAGCTTCATAGCCTTCAATGTAAAGTCGAATGGTGGCACCACTACTGCCTGTTCCGCTAAGGCGCAAGATAATACGAGAATCATCATCAAAAATAATGCGGATGCCCTAAAAATAAAAATGAAGAATGTTATAAATTGATAACATAATAAATTTAGACTTTTTCTGTTCTTTCAATATATTTATAAAGGATTAGAGCTAACCCTAGTGTTCTGAATTTGATAAAGTTAAAGCTGTCAAAATTTTACTGGTATAGCATAGGAAATATTTTGAAAAATTATAGAAAGGTTATAGATTCAAGAAGATAACGTAATAATATGAAAAATAAAAATAAACAATTTTGGTATAGTACGTTGAAAATGTGTAAAAGAGAGAGGTATACACACACCCACATGAATGCACACACACAAATATAACTTATTGACTGGAAGTGGAAATGGTGTTTATATATCAAAGTAAAATTTGGGTTAAGATGTGTGTTTACCGATGAGAAATACGATCTCAGAGCAGAAGGCGATGTTTTAAATCTGGGTCACTAGTAAACAATGGGGATGGACGAGATACTTAGTTTTGTTTAACAGTATTTGTTTTGATCAAAAGGTTGAATCAATGTTTAGATATCCCAAAGTATAATTTTGGTGAAGCAAGAAGAACTTGTGATTGAGATAAGGTAAATAATTAGAGAATTGGTTTACATGTCAAGGGATAGTTTTTGGCACTCATGGTAGTTGAGTGCCGGGCCGAGGGTCAATTGTGATCAGCTGATCCTTTTTCTATATTAACTCGAGATTTTGCAAATAAAGTGGAGTTGGGGAAAGAGACTGTAGTCGAGAGAGTCACGAGACTATCGTCGCAGTGAGTCGAGAGATTTGCGGGAGAATTTTGGAGGAGAGAGAGAAGACTAACCCCTGTTCTGAGAAGTCTGTATGAGACGGGACTATTAGTTATAAACCTACCCCAGGCAATTCAATACACGTTTATCTCACACAAACCCTCTCTCTGTTGAGAATTCGCTGGATGCATTTTGTCTTTTTTCTTTTTCTTTTCTCATTTATGTTAAATGTTTTTATTCTCCCTGTAACCTCTGTTCTGATGTTATCTTATATAAAAGACGTCAATATTTTACCCATTGTTGTCTGGCTTCTGCAGATATTTCTTGTTTTATTTTGCCACATTCTAAACTTCCTAGCGCCAACTCTCACAGCCATGTCCACATCCCCAGTCGACCGTGAACATATGGACAACACCCCGCTTACTGGATCTAAAAACTAATACAGCATGAGCAGCGAGCAGGACTTGACCAGTTGACTGGTCGAAATAATCTACGGGTACACGGGGAGCATACAGCCAGTTACCCCTAAGTTCGGTTTGGAATGAGTGGACTCCTCAACCCAAAGAGGAAGATGCTGGAGGTTGAGGGGCTGGGGACGAAGTGGTAGAAATGTTGAAAAAGTGAAAATTCTTAATACAAATATTACAGCAAAATGTGGTAATAAAAATGTTTTTCTTCAGGATCAGCTTGACATATCTACACACAAATGTGGAGAAAGTCACTTATTTTATAATACAAATAAACAAAAGAAAAATACAATCTAAAAGACAATTACCTGCATTATAAGTTCATATGTAAATTGTAAATGTATTTGTAATTGATTAGTGGTTAGCATAAAATTGTGGACATCTAAGTTCGTTTAAGAAAGCTAGACATCAACAGATGTAAAAAAATGACTTGCCTGTTTCATACTGACACTTTTATCAATGGGATCTTCATAAGAAAAATTATCTGCTTTCTTAATTTTGTAACTTTTGCCATCATGACTAAATACTTTTCCAACATTAGAAGAATCAGAGATGAAAGCATTTAAAACCTCCATCATTTTCTCTGCTGGTGCTGTTTCACAGTTTTCATAGTCATATCTAAAAAATATAAATGAATAATGACAAAAATCATGCATAATTTTTTTTTTCCCTTGCAGCACAAGATCAAATTTTCCAAAAATTTGAATGATAAGTCAGATGTATTCAATACAAACCTAGTGAAAAAATTCCTTCCATATTGCTTCCAGTGGTCAACTAAAATCTCTTCTACATTCTGTTTGCGATGTGCCAAGATAGAGAGCCAAGCTAACACAGCCCAGACACCATCCTTTTCTCTGGAAATAAAAATCATTTCACAACATGAAGTTCTAAATTTTGTAAAAGTTACTTTACAACTCAAAGGAATTTTATGATATATCTGTATTTATAATTTAACTGATTCATGTTAAAACCCAAAACAAAAATGAAAAGTAAAAACAAGCGAATAATGAAAATCTAACACAAAGTCACAGTGCTGTCTCATTAATGAGTGTACACCAGCATTTCAATGGAGAAAAACAAAAAAAACTGATAAATGTAAAAATACACCAAAGTTCAAAATTGATTTAAAATCAATATAGATTCTTGTAAAACAAAACTACCAGTTAAATTCTTGTAAACAAGAAGCCTAATAAGGCATTCTGTGCATAAACTGGTAAAAATGACAAAGTACTGTTGTTGGTAAACTAATTTTGCAAACTAAAGACAATAAATTAACTCTTTACTGTATTCAACAATATAGCCTTTTTTATATATGTAATTAATGATAATTTTTTTTATATATAATATGTTGTTGAAGAAATATTTTATGCATATAAATGGGAAAATATTGTAATTAAAATTGTGCCATTTTTAAAATTAAGGAAATGAAAAAGTAATTTTTATTTACCATAAATTTCCTCTCTGAATAATTTTGTATTTTCACAAGAGTTATCATTTTTTTTAAAATTTGGTAGTGCTGAAGATGAAATGCATATAAAAATTCCACTCACCTGATGTGATCAGATCCAGTTCCAAAACTCTCTTCTCCACACAAAGAAAGACGGTTAGCATCCATTAAGTTTCCAAAGAATTTCCATCCTGTTGGTACTTCAAATATCTCTTTACCTTTTGCATGAGCAACTCTGTATTGAACAAATAGCTTTATAGTTTGAAATTAATAAACTTTTTTTTTTTTTTTACAATTTTGAAAATATATTAAAGACAACTGTGAACCAAACAATTTATTTTTGCTTAAATAACTTTCCAGACATTATTGGAGGATTATTTTTTATACATTTGTAGTCTGAAATTTAAACTGAATTTGTTTTTAATGAATACTTAAATCATACTCAACTAAAAGCTCAAAAAGAATAAAATTCTTTTTTCATACTGAAATAATTTATGGATAAGTTTCTAAACAAAAATTCCTGACTAAAGTCAAACATTTAAGAATTTTATAAAATAAGTAGTGCCGTGAAATGTTTTTCATTACTACGATAATCATTAAAGTAATTTTGTATGAATATGTCAAGTCTAGTTTTAAATTATTTTTCTTGTGAAGCATTTTCACTATGGAGGAATTCTATTTTTATATATTTGATTTTCTTCCAGTGTGAAGATATATATTCTGAGTGTTTTGCTTTTGAAGTCTTCATCGGTTACCCATTTTTCATAAAATCTTTATAGTCTAAATTTACATATTAGCTTTAACTATAAACTCTATAACATTTTCACTTTGTAAAGAAAACCAATTCTTGAGGATTGCAGTTTTCATATTTCACATAAAATGAGATAAATTTTGATCAAACCAACTGACATTCTGAAAGTTATTATCTTTTCTCATGGAAATGAATTTTAGTCTATCACCATTGTTTCCATTAGATCACAATTAAAAAATTAGTTCTGGTTAATAGTTTGGACATAAAACTTTGGTAAAAAATTATAACCTAGAATTTTTGTTTAAAAAATCAAGTTTTCCATTCAACAAAAATATATATTTTCAAAAAAATGACAATATAAAATCTTTCAATAATTTTGATGACAAGAGTCTTTAAAACAGCACTTTTTCTAAACAATTCAGGACATTAATAGTTTAAAAGTCTGCTAAAACACTGTCTCAATTTGTCTATCAATTGGTACTGGATTACATTGTGTTTTTGCATAAAAAAAATTTTTAATCATTTTCTTTTTATCTCCATTTACTTCTCCCGAAATTTTGTCATTTCAAAAACTTTATAATCGACATTATAATTAACGTTTCATCTTGAAAAAAAAATTATTGGTATTTTCTATTTGTTTAAAAATTAGTCTTTTTCACTAATAAGCTAATCATTGTTTTAAAAAGAGATAATTATCTCATGGGGCCTTGCCAAATTAAGATGATATCTTGTTTAAGGTTTTTTGAATAAAATCAGTACTTTTACAAATATCCATTTGTTTTATTTGAAAGGCGGAGGTAAATTGGTAAGAAAGACCAATAAATTTCAACTAACGCCCACCGGAAACATTTGGTATGAGATACCAATCTACTAATGAAGGTAGTCCTTTAGGAGATAGTTCCATTCCTTGTTTTCCTCACGGACGAAGACAGAACTCCCGCTCAAATGGAAAGTAATTAATTTTCCCAAATGGACTGTCTATGAAAAGAACTTCAACTAGTGGACAAATTATATACAACAAAAGTCGTCCCTTGTCACAAAAATTACCAAAACCCCCAAATAGCGTGAAAACCCGGAATGATTTTTTCTGCAAAACAAACATTATTATACTGACCTGTCAAGAAGCTCCTGCCAGCAACTAAAACTAAACCAGTTGATTTAGAAGACCAGAACTTTGAAAGAAGGGATAAAAATCAAGGTTGTTGGAAACGGGTTGGGAAAAAGAAGGGTTCACAAAGAAGAATAGACTGAAAATAAAATTTCTGATTTAAAAAAAAATTTTAAAAACTTGAACCTTTTTTTATTTTTATTTATTTATTTTACACATCAGAATAAATCACATCCAGTTTAAACTTCATCTTGAAATACGGTTGAACCTGATTGATTTCGTTTACCTAAGATAAATTTCAACATTGGTTGTTTAGAATTGAGATTTAAATGGGTTTATTTTGAAAATGTTTTATAATTAAGCTGAGAAAAACAGAGCTGGTGTCGAACCAATTAAAAAATAAATAAGGTGTTTTAAAACAGAAAAACATTTTGCCATAAATTTTATGCAAGTGAATATAAAATACTGTTACAACACAATATCCTGCCTGGTAGCGACGACCGCCGATCGACCGGGTTTTTTTGGTGGCAACTGATTAAAGTCAACCCCAAAACGTTGGTAAAATTAAAAATAGTTCCCATGCTTCGTCTTTTGACCCAAGATATAATTTTAAACTTATTTTGAATAGTTAATACTTTGGATTTCGTGAATCTTCTTTCAGTTTTCTTTCCCACTCAAATTTTCTTTTTTTTTCAATGACGTTTGATTAGACATTTTGTGATGTTATTTAGCTATGGTAATTGGCTAACTAATTAATCATAGAAATTAAAACAGAAAAATAGACCTTCTTAAAGCAAAAAAAAAAGAGCTATCTCAAAAGACAGAATGATCGATGAAAAAAAAAAATTTAATTTTAAAAAAAAAAAAAAAAGATTTTTTTCACAAAAGACTGTGAACCCGAGAAGAAGCCACGTGTGAGGTCTTGTCCTGTCGAGTTAATTTATGTCTCGCCGAGGGAGATAGAAAGAAAGGCAAATATGGAATTATCGGCCAAAACACGTGCTGGTCATAAAAATTTCGGCTGGAGACGAATGCTCATACAGGCAGGGAGAATCAATGGTAATTATCTTTCAAAGATATCGTTTTTTTTTTCTTGGATACAGGCGAAGAGAAGCAATGTGGCAATTATAAAATTTTGGCATTGTCTCGATATAGGTGAGAAGATTGTTTTCATTTACTTTACCAACAGACGCTAAGATGTCGAATAGCAATGTGGCAATTGTAAACTTTTGGCAGTCCCCAGAAAATAGTGGAGAATTGAGATTTGGCAAGATAAAAGAATTTAATTTCTTAACAAGTCAAGGATTCCGTTATAAAGCTAACTTAGCGTAAAGAACCAGATAGTAAATTTTGACAGTGGTTAATGAGACGGTAAGAGTGCGGGATAAGTGACTTTTGGGTGGCCCAGGAAAAAGAGAACATATAAAATTTAATTGGCAATGTGGATATTGTAAAAATTTTTGACCGATGGGAAAGGAAAATTTTTGTAAACAAAAATTCTAGATTATAATTTTAAGGAGGCTAGTGTAGCCACACACACACACACTGCCAAGAGATCATTAGTCGTATGGTAGCATGGTGATAGGCGGAGGTGAATGGATGAGAAAGGCGGAGAAAATGTTAACATCCACTGAAGGGATTGGTATGAGATATCAATGTGAGAGAGAAAGAGTTTAGGAGGATAGCTCTCCTCCGACCTTCCCTCACATACGACGGAACCCCCCCCCCCGAAATGGGAAGTGGTTAATTTTCCAAAAATAGGAAATAATCAATTTTCCTGTCCTGACAACAAAGATTTCTTGTTAGAAATAGAGATTACCGAAAACCTCAGGCTGCATCGGGCCCCCACAACGGGTTTTGGTCGGTACTCATATAAATGAACGATGAGGTGTCGTTCAGCAGTTGAGAAAGTCACAGTTCAGCTCCAGAGTCAGAGACAGGTCGAGTAGCGGGAACCAGAGTGTTGCCTTGCAGAAGCTGACCGAGAGATTTCATGACCTCCGAGAGATTTCATGACCTCCGACTTCACCTAACCTACCCATAGCAAGTTATACTGATGAACGAAGTTAAGCCAGCATTTAAAACCTAAACCTGTTGACTTAGAGGACCAAATTGCTTGAAACATAGAAGTGTCACATTTCATAGGAAACGGGCTGGGAGAAAAACACACTCCTGTATATAGCAGAAGGATAAAATTGAATTGTTATTTCTTAACATACTTGAACCTCTTGGGTTTTTCTTTCATTTATTTTTTTTCTTTGCGCTTGTGTGGTGCCACCTTCAATCTGGAGTCTGCTTGTTCTACGACCCGATGCCTGATTGACCTTGTCTACCTAAGATCAAAGTCATAACATGGGTAGGTTAGACTTGAGATCGAAGCAGTTACTCCAGTAACCAGACGTTACGATAGAGCTGGGAACGATAGAGTTGGCATTGAACTGGTACAGCTGGTGGAGCTGTTAACATCGACGACCAGAATTTGACCCTGGTGCCATATGTTGGAGCCTTGACCACTGGATTCAACCCTGGACTGCTGAGTGTCACATATTGGTATCCTGACCAGGGGATTTCGCTGAGTAGTGACGACCACCAAACGACCAGGACACAGGCTGGTGGCAATATGATTGTCTATAGTGAACATCAACATTATATGCAAATTGCATTTAAAATATCCATTGATTTCATAAATTTTAAATAAAACATTGGCAACACTGATTTCCACAATATTGTGCAATGTCAATTGTTTTTAATATGTGTTAATAAACACTGGTTCTTTTCTGTTGTTCCAAATTGTTCAAAACAAGTTACAAAGCATTTTTAAGTGATGATGAAATGGCAAAAACATTGTTTAAATGCTTAGTGAAGGAAAACAAGGAAATTGCTAAACCACTCGTAGGAGACCACTGTACAATAAAAAGACATCTCTCAAACCTGGTTGCAAGCAGTACACATGCTGACAAAGGGAGGATACATTGATGCTAGTCTTTTACTTGAATAGAAATGTGTAAGCATCCATTAAAAATTAAGTTATTTGCAACAAATGGAGCTTGAAATGTCTACACCTTATGTTACATCCTGAAGCACAGAGAAACAGGTGATGAACCCTTTATCCATCCTCTTCTGAATACAAAGTATCTGCATAAAAATGTTACCTGGCCTGAAAAGTATTTGAAAATAAGTCTTTCAGTTGGTGCTATTCTGTTAAATGCAGTGCAATATTGGATGATACATGCTGATGAAATGAAGGATGCCTTAAAGAAGATCCTAGGCCTCTTTAAGAGAGATGTTAACAAAGAGGTATTATGTTCTGGACAGGAATTGATGAGAAGTTAACTGCTGATAGCATCAGAATGAATTCTTCAGCTTACATTGATTTCCCAAACTAACATTCAGATTTGGCTAAAGGCAGCATTGGCATTCAAACAGAAAGTGTCCCACCTCTTACTGCAATTGAAACTGTTGAACACTTAGATAAATTAGGGCTAAAAATGATTTACTTATAGATTGGCCTGCATATTCACCAGATCTGTATCCTATTGAAACTTTTATTGTCAAAAGGTGAGAAACTGGTTTCATTCAAGAATATCAACTTTGGGGAGCAATATCAACTATTAGTGAATGCCTCACCCCTGAAGATATTTAGAATTTAACTTGTGAATGGCAGGTTGTTCAAAGTCATTAGAAAGAGTGGGAATTCTATTTTCAAATAATATTGCTTTATACTGTTATTCAAACAAATTTATTATAGCTTGCTTTTTATGTCATTCCTTTGAATAAATCATTGTTTTGTTAGTCTCATTCATTGTTATTCCTTTATCACTTATAATTATTACATATAAATTGCAATGTTTTAATTGTATGTTGTATATTCCAGCATAAATGAAATTCTGTATTATAAAATCTTATATTTTGTAATATTTTGCATAAATGTAAAGCAAAAATTTAACCAACAGTTGATAGGTTATTGGTCATTTAGTTTTATAATTATCATTTTATTGATTTGCAATTTGTTGGAGCATAATGCAGGGATGAGATACTAATCAGCGAGTGACACACTGCAGCAAGTTGTAATGAAACATACTAGAGTTATTCTACCATATACACAACATCACGTTTTGTTGATGAAACCCCAAAATGTTTCCAGTTTTGTTTCACCTACATATTGCCAGAAAAAGATCACTTGATTATTAAGAAGAATGTATATCTCATTGCAGGCAAATAATTAAAAGTTTATTCTTTAGGTGCAAAAGTGAGAGTTATATGATGATTTGCTGTCTATTTTTCTTATTGAATTTGTACAGTATCCATTTTCCTAATATGTAACCCTTTCTGATGTGGTGCTGGTGCAGATGTGTTGGATATTATACAAGCATTTGACATGTTTGAAGTGGAATAGATTGACACAAATTGTCAAAGTCATCAATGCTTACCAGCCATCCTTGAAAAGGTTCATCTTCAATCAATCAATTTCCTGAACCATTTTTCACTAGCTCCATCTTCATGACTCACTATATTTTCTATAGTTTGCTACTGATCATAAACCTTTGGACTGCCATGCAAATTTCATTCATTACTACTGTAGGTATATTCTTCTGAAAGTTATCCATATACCATAAACATTTTCAACAGAAAAAAAACAAACATTTTCTAAAAATAGAAATATTTTCTATATATCTAAGCAGACAATACCATAAACATTTTTGGCAGAAAATGTTTATGCACTGCTGTCATCGGTGAATTCTTAAGTCTACATAAAGAAAAAACATTGAAAATTGCATAAACTTTTTAGTCATCTCTTGAAATAGTAGGATTTAAGATTTAGATTGTATCAATGTATGAGAATTTTTTTGTTTATTTGCTCTGATTGTAAAACTAATATCTGTAAAACAGTAATTTACTGAGGAGAGGATTATGGGAATCAGGTAAACATCAGAGTGATTTGTTGTATTTAACTATTGTAATATAAAATAGAATACATTATAAAAGATAAAAAGTATTTTAGGATGTGTAAGAAAATTCTAAATTGTATAGAAATTCTTGAAGGAACTAAAATGTTATCTTTATTATCTTTGATTTTTAAACAACAGGATTAAAAATTTAAAAAAAAAAAAAATGTAGTTTTTATGCTGATGACTAAACACTGATATTTGAAAGCACTTACACCATCTCCATCAAAAGCTGCACCAAAACCATGGTTTCCTTTCTTCATTTCATTCACAAGAGAAGCAGCGTAAGTTAAATTAGGATCAGGATGCATTCCTCCAAAATCAGGCATGATGTTGCAGTTAACTAAGTTTTGTGGATCAACTCCAAACTCATCACCAAAAATACGTTTCACATAAGGCCCAGTGACTTAAAACAAGACAAAAATAAAACGTTTAACCCACAACTATATCCAAAATATGAATATATATCTAATCCCTTTAGCATTCAATCTGCCCAAACCCACCCCATAAATACTGAATCTCAATGTTCAATCTGCCCTGTGCATACTCTACCATATATGATGACATCATTGCAAATAATGCAGGAAGTCACTGCAAACAGTAAGACTGAGAGCTGATATTTACAGGGCAGATTTGGGTGTGTTGAATACTAAAATTGATAGTTACCGAAGATACATCTGTGATAGTCATTTAACCTACGTGGAGATGCATTAATAAGCCCTTGAATTTGAAAAGATTTATAAAAAATAATAAGTTATGAAGAGGAAAGTTCAATACATAGAAAAGATCAGTATCTTTTTAGTTTAATGTGCCTGTGCTGGAATTCCATAAAATTAGATGTAACTTGTGTTCAATTTAAGGTACTATAAACTTTGGCTATTTTTTAATGTTAGTAATAGGTACAAAATAAGCATGAGGCATTACTAAATATAAGAAAAAATAGTTCTTTTTTTATTTAATAACAAATTATGTTAAGAGTAATGTAGCTGAAACATAAGTCAATGTTTGTATGTTGTATCTATAGTAACACATGTAGCTGATGGGTGGTTATTCTGAAAGCATAAAAAGAATTTATCTCAAGATTAACTCCTATACAAAAGATTCCTACTTTATAAAAAGAAAACAAAAAAAAAACTGAAATGTCAGATTTAATGAGAGCTAATGACAATGTTATTAAGAAGACTTATGTGCCCACATAACAAAATCTGTGAGTAGTATTCTTTATTACTTGAATACATACATGTACATACATCAATAAATTCACAGTCTCATAAGGAAAAAGCATTTATCTTACATGACAAACTTATTTTTTAACATAATTCTGTGGTGAATATTAGTCACATAAATCAAAAATTATACAGTGAAAATTTCAAATCAGAATTTAATTGATTACCATACATTACTTATTGAGCTATTTATTCTCATGGTTCTGTTATGCCGGTTTATAACAAATGTGTGTGTGTGAGTGAGTGAGTGAGTGAGTGAGAGAGAGAGACAAAAATTCTCAAATTGTGCTATGAATATTGGAGTATTTTATCAACATAGGTTCACTCTTATTTTTTTTAAACTACTACAATAATTTAGGACTTCCCTGTATATTATACAAGGGAATGCTGGAAAGTTCTTGGACAGGGATGGATTCCAAAATTAATTCTGATGTTTGCTCAGATTTTGGGAAGTGGGTCAAGCTTAGAACTTTTCAGCAGTCTGTCATATTGGAGTATTTTATCAAATTTATGAACATTTGATTAACATTTTATATTTGAAAGAAAATGTTTTTTATTATTAAGCTTGACAATAAGCTAACTGGAGAAGGTGATAGAAAACCACTTTTTCCCAAGAATGCATGGCAATTCACAGATAAAAAAAAGGAATCTGTGGAGAGCCATGACCACCTACATTTTGAAAATAACTCCTAGTTAAGGATATAAGCCAAAATAAAAGCAAGACATTTTTAATTCAAGAAAATCACCCCCTCCCAAAAAACAAACAACTTATTAATATTACTAATAGATTACTCTGGTCAACACATTTTGGTGCAAGGATGGAAACACTTTTTTAGTTAATTTGAAAGCATCAAATCCAAAAATGATGTCCTATTTTCATATTAGTCACTGATTTCTCTGCACCAAAATGTCTCATCTCAGCAAAAATTTTCATTTTTTTTCGAGTAACTTCAGTTTTCAGATTAAAAAAAAAAAAAAAAAAAAAAAAAATCTAAAATCATAATCAACTCGAATCTTTATTAATGAAAAGTAATCTGATATCTCGATGATGAATGATGGCTCTATAAAAAAAATGGAATCGATTCATTGACCATTTTTATAACTATGTAGATATGTCAGTGCAGATTGCAAACTATTAATGGCTATTCATAATCAAAATATAGTCTTATCAGTGGTATTCCCATTTGTGTATTTAACATATTGCATAATTATAAACATAATCTGCATAAGACAGGTTTGATGTTTTATATGAATTTATTGAATTTAGTTGATATGTAATGTGTAGTATGAACTGAGAACAAAAGTAAAAATTTTTTATTTTGTAACTGAAGCACTTACGTCAATGGATTAGGGGTATTCAAACTTCACCTAAATTTGGCATTTCAATGAATGAGGGCAAGCCATAAAAATCATATCATTGATTGTTACTTAATTGCTGGACTCAAGAAAAAAAGAAAATCCGTGAACTATCCTCTCAATTCTGCTATCAAACCTGTACCACACTTTGATGAAATCCCACTTCTTGTCGTCAAAGGCTTTGTCCAGTGACATTGATTTTGTTGACATGGGCAAGAATGACAATGATTTTAAGAGATTATCATTTGAACCGATAGTGTTTAATCAAGAGCTGATCGACTTAATCAGGGATTTGAGTTTATGAAAAGAATTGGCAGAACTCTCAGCTTTAAGACTGAAGGAAAAAATTTTCTTAAAGAAAGTACAAAAGTTATATTTTATCGCAATATAGATGCTGAATTTGCCTTCTACTTTAATCAAACCAGCGAATTTGTATATTGTAATGATGCCAAAGGAGTTTTGCAGTGTTTTTTTTTAATTCATGGAGACTATTCATTGATAGCTTGAAATATAATCTAAATTTTGTTTTACTGCCCAACAACAATGTATACACATTGATACCAATTGAACACTCCACAATGCTGAAAGAAAAACATGAACCCATTAAGGAAGTAATGGAAAGAATAAATTACTTTCATTGTAACTGGGTAATTTGTGTTGACTTGAAAATGGTTAACTTTTTTACTTGGACATAAATCAGGCTATGTGAAGTTCTCTTGATACCTTTGTTTATGGGACAGTAGAGCCAGAGATCAACACTGGGATAGAATAGAATGTCCAGTTTGATTAGAAATGAAAGTTGGAGAGAAAAATGTGATAACCGATTCACTAGTTCCCGGAGACAAAATCATCTTCCCTCCTCTCCATATCAAATTAGGACTCATGAAGAATTTTGCGAAAGTGCATAACAAGGAGGGCATTTCCTGGTCTCAGTACAGAAAAACTGAAAACATTGAAACTGAATTTTTGATGGACTTGACATTCGAAAACTTATCAAGAATGACAACTTCATAACCTATGTTACTGAATCAAATGCCTGGATTTCATTTGTTGCTGTAGTAAAAAAAAAAAAAAAAACTTTCTTGTTAATCCCAAGGGAACTAGTTGACAGGATGTTAGCAAACTACCAGGAGCTTGGTACTAACAGAAGCATCAAACTACATTTCTTGCATAGTTATTTGGAAAGGTTTCGAGGAAGCTGCAGTGATATAAGTGATGAACAAGGAGAATGTTTTCATAGAGGACAGATATCAAGGGAAATGGGATAAAAGAATGTTGGAGCCTGAAGAAATAACTATGGATTATTTGTGAAAATCAAAAGAATGAATGTTCTTGCCATGATTTCTTTTTAATTTTTAACTTCATATTTAATCTAATATATTTGTGTTTTGATGTACTTTTCTTCTTCCCTCAAAGTTGAAACTTTATTTGGTTTTGCATAGCTGTTCATTTTTCAGACAAATGATTTAAAATAATCAATTTTCCTGTTTTTGTCAATCATCTGAAGCAAGACAACTGAGAAAAATGGCTATGATAAAATTCAGCACCATGAAAATGTTTAAAATCAACTTTGCACCATTTCAAAAAAAAAAAAATTTTGCAAGCCAGTGTTATTGTTTAAAATAATTTTAATTTAATTTTAATCCAATAGCAAACAAAAAATGCTTTTCAACATTCAATTTACATAATGAAGTATATTAAAATCTAAACTTATTTCTTATAAGCAGAATAAAAGGAAAATGGTACTTACCTCCATGCATGGAATCTAAGAGAATATGTAGTTTAGCACAACCTTCACCTTGAAGTAGCCTTCTAATAGAACCAAAATCAAATAATTCTTTCATATAGCTAACATAATCATGGACTGAGTCAATAATCTCTACTACCATTTCATGATTATCAACATTAAAAATATTTGAGCCAATTTTTGACAAGTCAACCCTCACTCCAGTACAGATCTTATAAGAGCTGATGCTTTTAGACATCTCAAAAATGGCATTGGTGACTCCTTCAGGAGCTGGACCTGTATATATAAAATACATATATAAAATCAATTCACGGTTTAAATTTACTTTTAGAAAGTTAGGATAAAAATATACTGAAATTCAAAATGATAATTTTATCAAGATTAACATTATAAAGGCTTCTCTGTAGAAGTCAATAAAAACAGAAATTAGCACACATGCCCAAATGTCCATGCAAACAAATGTTTGACAGAACTGAGAGGCAAAGGTAGCTGTTTGTCTTAAGAGATGAGTACTTAATGAAACTATATTCACATTGAAAAGGAAATTTTATCAATTATTAAAAAAGAAAAAATTCATGAAATGTTTTTTGGCTGAAATTTTATTCTTCAAACTGACCATAAACCATTATTAGCTATATTTTGTAATAAAACATGATACAATATTGAGCAACATAAATTGTCTATAGTTTTAAACTAAAATACCTAGCTTCCTCTAAAATGGACAATGGCTATGCTTGACAAGCTGTTATGGCTAATGTTAATCAACTTCATATTTAATCTATTTGTGTTGAAGCTTTATTTGATTTGCATAGCTATTCCTTTTTCAGACAAATGATTTAAAATAATCAATTTTCCTGTTTTTGTCAATCATCTGAAGCAAGACAACTGAGAAAAATGGCTATGATAAAATTCATCACCATGAAATTGTTTAAAATCATCTATGATATCCCTTGCATGATTTAAAAAATAAATTAAAATTAACTATGATATCCCTTGCACCATTATAAAAAATATTCATTTGAAATAGTCATTGTAATAAACTTGAATCAGTAATCAGAAAAAATATATGACCATCAATCATAGCTAAAATTGTGATAACACAATGACCTTAAATTATCCTGGGAAAGAAACAGAGAAAAAAAACTCAAAAAGAGGTTTGTTTTTAGGCTGGCTTAAGGATCCTAAAACCATCCAAATTGTTGGAACATTATGTTTAAAGTAGTTAAGGATTTCCATGAGAATTCAGTTATCACAAAAGGAATCACCATAACTATTACTCTTGATCATATAGATATGTAGGCATCAAAACTATACATGAGATGTTAAAAATTATCATTCACATGCTAACTCATGATTATCATAAATTGTTTAAGACTTGTAACAAATAAAACAACAGGTGAGGATTCCCCTTTGGTTCCCTCCATTTCGAAACTAGTATTGATTGGTTGGCTCCAAAATAAAACACTGAACAATTTCTGAATTTCTATGACCTCAGTAATTTTATATAGATTTCAGAACAGGTTTACCATATAAAGGCAACACCAATAAGAAACAATCGAGCTAATTTTGACTTTGGTCTCTTGCAATAATAACTTGAACTCTTGCTTGGTTCTCTCAATGTTCTTGAAGAGAACAAAACCAGCACAAAAGATACCTCATCTAAGATGTATCTGGTGTAGGTAAGAGTTTTGTTCTAAATAATTGGCTGTTTGGAGAAAGCAATCTCTCAGCATAAGATGGCATTACCGCTAAACTTGCATGGTAGCTGCTGTGCAAATCTGCACAAGAATAGTGATGCTTGGTCAGAGTTGATCTGTGGTTATGAGTACATGTACATAAGATTGATGTTTTTCAGCATTGAGAGGCTCATTTGGTGCTGACAGTTAGGAGAACACAAGTTGGATTTGTGACTGTTCATTTATTTTTCCTGCATGTAAATATCTTGTCCAGCTTTTGACATTCATATTCAGAAAACTCTGATAGTAGACAAGATTAATTAGCTTGATTGTTTCTTATTGGTGTTGCCTTTATATGGTAAACCTGTTCTGAAATCTATATAAAATTACTGAGGTCATAGAAATTCAGAAATTGTTCAGTGTTTTATTTTGGAGCCAACCAAGATGATTCCCATTAAATTAGATATTCCAGGAGGAATGTGTCATATACCCTACTACTAATCAATGTATCTTGTAATGTAACATATGTTACCACTATAAAATAATAACCAAAGAGACTGGAAATGACCAGCCTTTACAGATAGTGTTTTTAGAATTAAATATAAATGGTAAATAAATAAATAATATAAATTTGTAGAATTAAATATCTGATGAGAAGCTGTGTGAATTGGCCAAACACAAATATACAAAAGAAAATGTGGCATATTACTTTGGCAGCAAACTACATCCAACACTATTTTTCCTTAGATGTTTTTCCAGGTTTGAAATATTGAAGATGTTAGTTCTGGATAATGACATACAGTTTATATCTTGCAGATATTTGATGCAATGTATTCTATAAAGTTGTAAAGTTTCAGTAAAATAGATAACGTTCTTTTAATTACCAGTCTTAATGTCTATTAAGACTGTTAATCTAAAATGGTAGTTGAAAACACTGAGAATCAACTTGGGAATATGACAAATTTACACACCAGTTTGGCAGTGACTTCCCCAATTTGAAAGAGCTATACTGGTAATATAAGTTAGCAGGATTTGTGTGTGAGCACTGAAG